CCCCAAAACCCCAAAACCCCGCCAAGCTAAATAATAAATTAAAAATGAATTAATGAAATTGATCAATATATGATTTCTACTTTCTTGTGAAGAATTTATACTTTGAATTCAAAGGTCGCATTAAGAGTAATTATCAAATAAAGTTCAACTTAAATAACAGGTGATGCCAGTTGTAGATTCTCATTATTATACATAGTTTTCGAAGGGATTCATGCCATTATCTTTTTACCTTAAATCAAAGGTTTGATTGAATCTTTCCTCAAGATCTTCCTATAATTAATTCCGGAATACCCTTTCTTGATCTAAACCAGCTAATCTCGAAAGTGACACTCTTTGCTATTGAAACCCAACATTTGTTACTCTAGCAGACCGAATATTGTCAGGTTGGACTATACTACTATAACGTCTTTGTTGAATTTAAATCGTTGAATCAGTGTTTCTTATATCAGTGACATCTCCTCTATTAAAAGATGGTTGACGATGATTCATTGATGGAGCAAGAGAGTTTTAACGAGAAATATTGGAAGCTAATGGTATTTAAGCTTGAAGAGATTGATGCGAAGCTACAGAAGGCAATCTAAAGTTGTTTTTAGAATTAATCAAATCAATTGCCAACTGTTAGCATTTCATGAATGCTGCTGCCTTTAAATGATCAGAGTGCTATTCAATCATTTTTAAATCATTCTCTTATCTATTTTTCTAGTAAAAGCTGATACTTTTATCAATGAAGTCAGCCTTGTTAATTTTGATCTACTCGAGTAGAAAGGGCAGGAGTAGCTAATCGATAAAATTGTTTTATTCTTATGAATTCTGTAGTTTTTCAATTAATTTATATCCTTATTTTTTTTCCTCTTCTTATTTTTGCCTAATTTATAAATCAGGACTAGATTACTCAGAGCAACTCTTAGTTAGTTCAACTTCATACTTTTTTGAGTGACTCTGTTCAAGGTATTATTTCTTGAACTCTTAAAACGTTTCTTCATCATTAATAACTCTATTATCCATATCCTTAACTATTATATGATGCAGCTAACTTTTGATTATAATCTCATGAAATTTCTTCAAAAAGTCAGAATAACTCTACATCAGCTCAATCGCAATAGTCTTATGTACCTTTTTATTTCCATTCTAGATAGCAATTTTGACTAGATGAAAGTCTTTTTAGTTAGCAGGAGTATTTGTTTAGTTAATATTATGAAAGCTGACATTTGAGTTAATTCTGTCTTAGTCTAAGTTTAAATTTTTGGGAGCTTGCTTCTATTCAGTATATTTTACTCGAGTATTATTAGATTATTATGTGGCTAATGAACCTAGAGGTTTCGATAATCGAATAGGACTTTATAACTGTTAAGTTGAGTTTGGTCTTTTCATTTATTTGGTAGTGGATTCTAAATTATTTTGATTAAATATTATTTAAAATTATAAAGATTGATTAAAATTCATTTTTAAATTGATTTAGGGGTTTTGGGGTTTTGGGGTTTTGGGG